CCCCCCCCCCCCTCCCCCGCCAAAAAAAAAAAAGCAGCACCACACATCCTGCGGGTCCACACCGAGGGTGTTGAGGAATGGATATGGCACTGCGTAGAAGACCTGGAACTTTGGTCTTTTTTGAGCAGTAGGCTCGTCAGTCGCTAGTCGGCTTCCTTGTTTCTACACAGGGGAAGCTTCGTTTTTCTAGAAGAGGGAAGCACCCTGCCCAAGATAAGTTCTTGCGACTCGGATTCATGGCAATGAGTCGCATGATTGTTTTTGTGGGTTGCTGTGGATTGGGTTCCGGATCTCATGGGACTTCGCGAAAGATACACGCTCCAACGCCTCAGTTTAAGCCCCAAAGATTCAGACCGGCAGTGTCGCATGGATACATGACACCGGACAAGTACCACCAGCTTCTACATACAAGGGCCTCTAGTGCCACTAACTACCTTTGAAAAAGCGCCATATTGCACAAAAGGCGTGCACACACACCTACACCCACACCCACACCCACAGGAACAGGCACAGGCGCACCCTCACCCACACCCTCACACTCTCACTCACCCTTTTGGTTATAGATTATCATATTACGGCACCTAATATTTGGGGGTACCAAAATGGGACCCTAATATAGTCTAAAATCCGAATATGCCCCCCAAAATCTTATATAACCCACCTGAAGGAGTTTGGGCCCTAAACCCATAAACCCCAAACTCAAGGCCTAGGCCGCCCATCGACTGTGAGTGGGCGGCGCCTCAGCCCCTCGCCCTCTATGCGAATGGTCTCTACAGCACAGCACGGATAGCCCCAGTAGTGGAGGGAGGAGTTCTGCTTTGGCTGCGAAACCAGGGGCCAGGGTCCTTCAGAGGCCTTCCAGGTGCTTGCCAGGGCCTTCCAGGCGCCTTTTGCCAGGGTCGAGCCTTCAGGCGCCTCCCCCGGGGCTTGCAGTGGCGTTTCAGGCCTCCCAGTGGCTTCGCCTCCCAGAAGCCCCAAAGTGAATAAGCCTCAGAGGGTGTGGGGTGGGTGAATATGTTAAATAGCCTTGTACAGTCAGGGGGCGCTGCACTCTAAGTTTAAACCCTAAACCTCAACCCTCGACCCTGAATCTTACCTTAAAGCACCCTAAAACCTAATTCCTAAAGCGTAAATATTCCAGAGGCACAGTGCGGAGGAATCCAGCTTCCACGATGGCGGCCTTCATGGCCTACTAGCATGAACAGATGATTGGGAACAGCAGCACATTCAGGGTTTAGGGTTCAGGGTTTAGGGGTAGATTCACTGGATGCGGACGGCAGGCTTGATAAAACTGTCGCTGGTACTTGTAATGACGCCTACAAGCCATAGAATAACCCCAGTTATCCCCATTATTGACTTACTAAGTGTCCATGACCCTCCAAGTATGAGTCAGCGGGCCCCTCAATGCATGTCAAGACATCCTAAGGTAACCCGAATGTAGGCCCCCAAACTGCATCCTTTGGCCCTAGCACTGAGCAGCATCCCAATAACTTGACACTATGCGAGGCACTATCACTCATCAACAAGTCTGGAGCCAAGTTTGCGTGGGAGGAACGCTCTATACACCCTGGCCGCCCGAACCATTCGAAACTACATGAGCTCTAGCTTAAACTCCTAGCATCCCCCTTAATCACCCTTATACTACTCCCCTATATAATCCCCTATATAACCATCCACCATCCTTTAAGAAGTTTAGACTATACCTCACATGGACGTTTCAAGCACGGCGGCCTTGTGCGGAGTCTTTCGAATACGTAGAGTAGCATGGAGGATGATATAACGGCAAACTGCCTTCTAAGGGTTTAGGGCTTATAATGGCAAACTGCCTTCCTTGAACACGTCCAAATCCCAACCCCAAGCTCACACATCAACGCCCCACCGGCAATCCTAAACCCGACTGCCGAGGTAGTTCCTTGTTGGGTAGCATGTCAGAGTTCCCAACCCACAAACCATAACAAACCTCAAAATTAACTACATAGGAGCCTTGGGTACACCCAACTCCCTATGGGCCTGACTCTCTCCAAAGGCCCAATACATCTTAATCGATCCTTTTTTAGGTCTTAGGTTTCGGTCCCTGATTTGATTTCCGGTAGTTTCCTCGGTTTACTGGCATTTAGCGGTCTAGCCCCAGTTGCCTGGACGACATGGCTCCTGAGCTGCATGACGAGAGAGAACCTGTTTTCAGAAAGCTCTGACGTTTGCTTTTTGGGGTCGCGGCACTGGCGAATCAACTGGAAAAGAAGATGGAACATGTATTGGACGCTGGGATTGTATAGTGGTCTATATAGGGGTCAGTACATGAGGTAAGGTTTCTCATGATGATTTTGGCAAGTGTATATAATGTTCCTAAGCAATGTTGGCGAGTCTGGTGAGTGCATACAGTTTGGTGTCCTCTTCTGAGAGGTTCAATCAAAGCTTGAAACGGTAGGGTTTTTAATGGCCCCTAGTATGGTCAAATGTTGGCCTTTTTGATTTTGACGACCGCTATGGGTCCTGGGCTATGATTTGACCTCCTTTTGAGGTCCAGATTTTTCAAGACACTCCCGCATCCGGGGGGATGTCAGATGTGCATTCTGTGATATATACAGGGGGGCCTCATTCTTGATAAAACGCAGGAGAGCATTAGGCATGGACTTCTCCCATGTGTTGGGACACAGGGTTTAGGATCGCTTCTGGACTTCATATGATATGTAGCAATTGGGTCTGTGGGCCTTCTCTGAAGGTAATCAGCAAGATTTGGCGTGCAGGAATGCAAGAGCGAATTGGGATCCGAGGTTCAGGCTAGCTGCACAAAGCATCCAAAAAAAGGAGAGGTAGGGTTGTGAGGTTTAGGGTTTAGGGCATAGGTTTTTGGCGCACACGGAACTGCTTGTTAGCTCTGATGCTGGTTTCAGACAATCTAAATAATATTGGGAGAACGGAATAGAAAATGGAAACTACAAGGGACAATAGGGTATACTGTAGGGGTTATACAATATGAGCCATAGTCTAAACTCCTGGTATCCCCCTTAAGAACCCCTATAGTAGTCCCCTATGCAATCCCCTATATAACCTCCTTTAAGGAGTTTAGACCCTAAACCCTAAACCCTATATAATCCCCTATATAACCTCCTTTAAGGAGTTTAGATTATGGCTCATATAGGGATTTGAGGAACTTATTTGGGATCCCTGGTCTTGAGTGTCATGTTGTAGGTTTCAAGGGGTTTAGGGTTTAGGGTTTAGGGTGACTGGGAGCCTTTGTTCGTGGTTTACAGGTGGGCAGATGGCAGAAGACTTACATGAATATGGTCATCTTTGCGCACGCTGTGAATAAGTAAACCCTAGACACTAAACCCCCGACACCCTAAAACCCCTAAACCCTAAACCCTAAACCCTGGTTTGGCGCTCATAGTTTCGCGCGGCTTCTTCCCGCCACAGTTCTCTATGACCTTATTACCTGCCTTGCAGTTGGCTCTGCTTTGCTTTAGGGTGAAGGGGTTTAGGGGGTTTAGGGTTTAGGGTTAACGGTTTAGGGTTAGGGTTTAAGGGTCTAGGGTTTAGGGTTAGGGTTTAAGGGTCTAGGGTTTAGAGTTTAAGGGTTTAGGGTTTAGGGTTTAGGGGTTGGGGTTCAGGATTTTTGCAAAATAACGGTCCCACCATACCCTTGCAAAGCCTCTGCTTCCTGACAGCGCATGAGGATCTCAAGGCAAATAACATCTTACCTCCTAATGCTGGAGCACACACGCACCCACACCCCCCAAAAAAAAGTTCCCTCCTAGCAAGAGGGCGAGACCCCCAACAATATTTGGATCCTTGCTTTAACAACTTGCACTTCGATTCCTAAACCCTAAACCCTAAACCCAAATTCAGTAGAAGGACTAGGAGGGATCAGCTTTGGCAAAAAAAACTCAGAAAGGTTTCAGATGGCAGCTGTAAGGGCTTATGAAAGGATAAGAAGGGTTCATGAGCACAGAAGAATTTCAAGAAGGT